GGGTACTTGCTCTTGATAAATATGATAATAGATCTAATTTTAACTTCCTTAATTAGAGGGTTGATGAAAGAATGTATGCTCGGTTTGTGGTCGTAGATCTTATCTCACTTCTGATCTTTTCATCCTGTGTGTACAAGGACTGAAAGACCCTAAAAAGGACTCTAGATTGCTCATACTTTAGTGGTTGTGGATAAAAGCCTCAACAGTGTACTGGATATGTACAGTAGATCTAAATAACAACTTACTAAACAATAAGGCTGGTGATTATTCTATATTTCTCTTATTGTCAACAATAATTCTATTATTACTCGATCAAATGTTAATTAACTTGCAGCTGTAACTAGTCCTCAACAAATGCACCATTTCCTCCTGTTTGAATAATATTTCAAAACTACAGTTTTCAGCTGTTTTAGGAAATTACTGAGCCTTTTTTATAAAAAATGAAATTTGTATTTGAGACCCTTTTTTTTTAAGGATTTATGTATTCAAGGAAAACGAGAACATTGTGTTTTGTTGACAATATGATAGACATATTGATGAAATATAATGATAGAATAAGAGCAGCTTTATCCGCCAAATCAAAGAACATTGTGCATACACTGAGATTTGAAGCTTCCATCAGTAACTCTGTTTTTCTAGGTGCTGTCAGGAGGAGTTGCGAGCAACCAGTACATCCGAAAGGCTTTGACCGTTATCACTGAGACGACAGGGCTACACCTCCTCTGTCCTCCAGCCAAATTCTGCACTGACAACGGAGTGATGATTGCATGGTGTGTGTATTGCCACGATCATTAGTGGATGCTTTATCACAGGGGCCATACTTTATCAGATTTTGTGACCTGGATCATTTCTTTTTTTAACCAGGAACGGAGTTGAGCGCCTGAGAGAAGGGAAAGGGATACTGCCTCCAAATGTAGACGTCTTCTATGAGCCAAAGTAAGTCGCCGAACACTGAAGAGGATTGCATGTTGAATTTAAGCAAAAACTCGATTGTGACACCAAACCAAATTATTCTGGGCCAATTTATCTGTACTGCTGATTAAATGAACACTGGCTGACATAAACGTTGTGTTCCAGGGCACCGCTGGGTGTGGACATGACAGCGGAGGTGAAGGCCGCAGGGATCAGGTTACCATCAGTCAGGATCAGGATCCCCAACTGACAGACTTTTACTTTTATCATGTGCTTTGTCGCTCCTGGATTTTCCCAGTTCAAAGTATATACTGTGTATTTAAAGGACATTACACAGGTATTTATTAATAAATGTGTTTTTATACATCTCAGTTGTTTTTTTTTTTTAATACCTCTCACTAAACTAACTGAAAAGAAAATTCATGGAAGTGAAAATTCTCTTTGGCTTCCTACGAGTGCGTTATGTTTTCAGGTTGTCTGTTCTTCCCATCCTCGTGACCGCGATGTATCAGAAACGACTTCAAATTTGGCACAAACGTTCACTTGGACTGAAGTGTGACCTGATTTGATTTTGGTTGTCAAAGGTCAAAGGTCACTGTGACCTCGCAAAACATGTTTTTGGCCGTAACTCAAGAATCCATACACTAATTATGACACAATTAAACACAAATGTGTAATAGGACAAAATAGTTTTTTTTATATCCCAAAAGTCGAAGGTCAACTTCAAATTTTCATGTCCCTCTGTTTTTATTGTAGATCTGTGACAACCTGCTTTGGAGTTACTTATATTTTAACTGTTTCTATAAAGTCTATATTGTATATAAAACAATTTAAATGTGTTTATTTTGACTGCAGTGTACTATATTGACAGCTTGCAATATATCTGCATCATGGCACCACTGTAGCTGAAGCTACATGGTGGTTACACAACGTTTTGATTCGACCTGTGTTGCATATACACTGCAGTCATTCAGTCATTCATTAATTGTTAGCTCAACTGCCACCTATCAACTTTTTTTAGATCACAATCTTCTGTTTGAGATTGTTCTTAAAAAAATTATAAGATAATTCAAATCCAGTATCATAAAATTCAAATAACAGAATCCAAATGTTTGTTAGAAGCATGTTGTTGGCCATTTATAAGTGATTATACACAACCAGTATGTTACATTAAGCGCCTTCTTACCTCTGACAGACAGTGTTCCGAAGCTGATAATATGATGAATATGAATACAAAAGCCTTTCATACAGAGCCACCCAATTAGACTGAGTGGACTAATCACATGTTGCACCACAGGTTCATGCAAGGCCTGAAATCTGTCTTTGTAAGTTGGTGGTATGGGAGTGGGCACGGGGCTTCCATTGAGAAAATTCAGCCTAATTTTCATGAGGTCAGGAGCAAGTGTAAATGAGAAATACACCAATGTACATATCTAAATGATAAAAAATAAAATGAAAAAAACAACAATGGAAGGGAATTCATCTTTTAAGATCATGGTAGATATGAGGGCATAATATTCAGTCAATCAATAAAGTAAGGTTGCAAGAAAAGTTAGACATTTTGGGTCCTTGAGGTTGCCATTTATCTTTACGAGGGTAGTAACTGCTTTGTTGTGACATCACAAAGTTACAGACGTCCTGACAGCTGGTTTTAAGGCTCAGTTTCTGAATACAGGCTGTGTGCATTTCTCTGTGGACTGAGGCTTTGATACTTTCACAATATTAATATAGAACCTAGACCTGATCTATAATTGAACTACACATGAACATCTGCCTTTATACTATATATTCTGTACAGGAAAACTCAAAACGCCTTCAGAAAAGAGTTGAAATGATACAAGTTTTTCAAAGCCCATACTTTTGGTACTTGTGGAAAAGCCTTTTAAATAACGGTTGGACAAAGTAAGACAAACAGCACTTTCACACTGTGATGACAAATCATCAGAGTTTGCTCAGTTGTTTTGGATTAGTATTGGAGCAGCTCTGCCGTCTGTGTAGACGCGGTGTAAGATAAGAAAAGCCCGAACAAACCACCATGAAGTGAGAACTGCTGACTGCTGCTGCCTCCAGTCATCTGTCCTGTGATGAATGAAATTATTTCAAAATCACACATTAGGAACTTGTCTTCTCATGTTTGCTTATGTTTTCCTGTGTACATGTTTCCTCTATAGAGACCCATGTGCATTCAGTAGAGCCCTACACCAAGACGGAGCTGACGGTCCTGTCTCTGCCAGACATTATATACCTCTACAGTCTGAAGTCTGAGGACAACACGACCAGGAATCCTCTGCTCTATCTTTACCCAGACATCCACAGAGACGCTGCCTTTGGACGCTACTGCAGCATCCCTGGTATTGTCTCTTAACTTACTTCACGCTGAGAATCAGCTCACTTTATTCACAGAGTGCAACAATAGACAAACAGGAATTAGTTTCAGGATGGTGATTGTTATTTATGTGTTCCTGCAGAAACATATTGTCTAACATAATATCAACCAGTACTGCATAACAATGTGCTGATTTGAAGCTCCTCACACCTTTCCAACTTGTACTGACTTATAGATTTATAATGTTAATGGTGCCATTACAAACTGCATAGATTATCCAGTGTACTGTAAGTCTCGTGTCATATATTAGAAGCATACTTGTTCTCGATTGAACATGAGCCCTGTAATGACCTCTAATGACCTCGTTCATGCAGAAAAAGGAGCACCTAAAAACAGAAGTTACCTCCTACCCATAACAACTCATACTGTAAGTAAGATAATAATATTAAGAAAAACATCAGGATAAATCTCTGCATCACCAAATATTTGCCCACTCAGATTTTGCAGCCAAAATTGATAAAATAAGATTATAAGATTGTAGTTTTTATTTTTTTCGGTGGAAAAGTTTTTCAATGCCATTGTTTCTTTTTTCAGCTCAGGTTTTTGTTTTCAATGCCTAAATTTTATTTCCAGTGCCCAATTTACTGTCACTGTTCTAGCCCCATACCTAGAAGAAAGATAAAGGGGTTGGACAGAACAAAACTATGTACTGGTGAATTTAGCTGTTTTTAATCCCTTAGCAGTTGTGAAGCTAGGACTGTAACATAGAGGATGGTGCTGAAGGAAGGACATTAGAATCTAAAGGGTTCATCCTCTGGAGAGCAGCAAGGGATCAGGACATTTCTTGACATCGCCCATTGGATTTTGATCATTCTTCAGGGCATTTAAGTATTACAGTGTCACAAAGAGGAAAGGTAACTGGGTCACCAAAGTTAGGTTTGATTTGATTTACAGGTAAACATATAATTTCTCTTGCAGGGATCTTTCTGGCTTTTCCCTGCTAGGATCTCTTGCTGAATTTAGTGTCTCCTTGCTGGGGAGTATGAAGTCAGACCCAAACATCAACACTGCACAGTCTCCAAATGATCATAAATCCGTTCAGGAGTTACCAGATTGGAGTGTGTTACTGCAGGTACTCCATTACTCAGGTGTGTTAGATAAATGATGACACCTTCCTCCCTGTCTTTGAAACAAATGGCCCAGCTCCAGTGGCCACCCTCACACATTCACACACTGTGACTTGGGAGTCCACAAGGCACCTCAGTGCCTGTCCCACTGAATTCAATGAGTAGGGACATTTTTGAACCCTTTATGACACTTTTTGTGTGTCTGCAACTCTGCAAACTCTGCTTAAGTGATTAACTGTAATTATTTGAACATTATGTGTATATTTTATATGTATTGGAGTGCTGCGTACACTGCTACTGAAACTTCCTCCACCACTGTTTAAAGCTCCATGTGACTAAAACAGAGACAGAAAAAAGATTTAGATAAATAAATACATGTATTCATATATAATTTGCTTGAAAATTCAACAGATGAACATTCCACTAGAACACACAGAGTTCTACTAGAACTGAGGGTTCTATGGCATCACAGTGTGACAGAAGTCTGCAGATACACTAGATTTCTCACTTCAGACTTCAGTGTAGATTTATTCAGCACAGTGAACAGACATAGTATCTTTACTACTGAACTACAAGTATATTATCACAAGATAAAGAGAACAAGAAACAACAAGAAAAGGAAAAGTGGACGAGGCAAAGCAAGTCAACAACACTCATCTGAAGATGTCTGAGGACAGACAGGTAAGACGATTACTGTAAATGCACTTTACTGAAGAGTCAGCTGTTAGTTTTGACTTTAGAGATTCATTTGCACAATTTAAAAAAAAAGAAAGGGGATGAAGACCTGAATAGAACAGAATAACATGAATAGCATGGATAACTTCAGATCTTCAGATCATCAGAACACATCCTCTTTTTTATTGTTGTTTGATACAGGGAAATAATAATTTAGAAAATGTACATTTTAATTTCCATTATCAGGACCTAAACAAAAGAAATCATATGTCAAAGTATTTTGAAAAGTGGTTATTTTAACTGAAACAATAGTCCTAGAGTAAACTTATAACTTTGTTTTAGCACAAGATAACTTACAAATCATGATCTACAATGATCACACAGGAGTCACATAGTAGTTATTGAACTAGTTGTTATTAATTTTTAATATTGCCAAGTGTGAACAGATATAACAATAATTTTAATAAAAATATGATTTATATTGTATTATTATATAAATAGAAGGCTGAAGACAGTGTTAAGTATTCAGTTTTTTTTCTTAAATACTTCACATTGAGGTGGTTGGGTTCTGTGACTGCTAACATGTTTGTCTTTCCCCACTAGAACTCAGCTTTAAGCACCATGGACAAAGAGATGGCGGACATGGACGACATCAGCGACGGCCTCGTCTCAGGCATCATGGAACAGACTGCTATGAATCTCGACGAGCTGTTGCAGTCAATCTGCCGCTGGGATTCAGAGGAACGTGCCATGTCTGAGGGTAACGATGAATCCTCAGCTGATTCTTACACACAACAGAAGGTGCAGCAACATCTGGAGAAGTTCTTCGCTATGCGCCGAGTGTTTGCTGAGCATCGTGCGGACAAAGAGAACGAGGCAACATATTCTGGAGACAGCGAGACAGAAATTTCACATGCTGCCACTGCAATGGACAAGGATGTCAGGACACAGCAGTCCACCAGTAAAGAAAAGAAACCGGTTACCAAGCGATTCTTCAAGAGGATAAAGTTTGCGTTGAAGAGTGGCTTTGGCAAAATGCACAGTAGGAAGGACGAAGACATTTCAGATGAAGAGGAAGAAGACGAAGAGGACACCATGGAGAAGGAGACAGACAGTTGCTCAAAGGAAGAGATTATAGAGACTAAG